GGGCCGGGGAGAAGGTGCAGCTCCCCAGAGCGGCGGTGTGCGGCTCCACAGCGCTGCTCTTCCGTAGACAAACAGCCTCACCACACCTATAATTAGAGGCTGTGTACCAGTCTTGGCGCTGAAGCAGCTCTGCTGCTGTACCGGCTCCCGGTTTGGAGGCTCCTGCTCACGTCTGTTTGTGTTGGACTTGGACTGGGAAAGGGAGAAGCTGCGGTGCTCTCTGCAACACTGTTGCTAGCACAAACTTCATGACCTGGCATCGTGATGGTGGTTAAACTGAGAGGATTTTCAGTGGTGCGGGAAAGGTCAGAGCTGAAGATCTGTCCAGCTAAAATGCCCAAGAGTGAGTTGTTCCTTCACTGGGAGAATTGCTTACATTCTGTGAACAACTCCTTTTAAAAAGAACCATCGGGTACAGATGTGGAAATTCTGACTGCTTGATTTGCTGTGTTTAACTTGGGAAGCGCTTTGCCTCCCTCGTGCCCGCGTGCCTGGTGTGAGGCAGCGGTTGCAGTGCAATGGTGTGTGAGAGGCAAAATGGTTGTGATCAGGCTTGGGGGAATAGGGAAGCTGGAGCTACTGATGGTGTAAAACTGATGGAACTGGGTAGCATAGAGGAGATGGTCTGGGATTTGTGTCTGAGCAGTGAAAAGAGGAGGGAGCTTCTGTGTTTGTTTTACCCCAGACTCCTGGGTTGGTTTGCTTAGGTGAGGTTTGATCAACAGGTGTTGTCACCCCAAAGCTTTCTTCCAGAGCAAGTCTTTCCTCAGCTGGCAGCCTGGCTGTCTCTGGTAACAGCATCTGTGCATTTAAGTACCCTGGTGGTACTTAAAATGCCTGCGCTGCCTTCCCTGAGCAGCCTGCAGGGGAGCAGAAACCCTCCCAGAACGGAGTAATGTTCGCAGTAGAGCCAGGGCAGTGCTCTTCCCTGCTGATGTTCCCACGAGACAGTGGCTCTGCGGGAGTGAAAGTGCCCGCTCACTCTCCGTGGGCGGCTCGGCCGCTGCAAAGGGCAGGCGGGAGGGGTAAAGCCACCACAGCGGAGCCGGGAACTCCCAGCAACTTTTAAACACCTCGTGGCCGCTGCCGGAGCTGGCGGTGGCTGTGCTGCTGGCCCTGGGGAAGGGCCTCTGCTTTCCTTGGCTAGGGTAGCGCTCCTTTGAAGCATCTCGCTCCAGCTGATGAAGGAACAGAAGGGGAGGAGGATGCAAGCAGAGATGCCAGTGTTAAATCCAAGTGTTCTTTATGCGGGAACATAAAGTTGGATCCTCTCAGCCTGTTTGCTGAGCGACTTGGCATGACATTTTGACAGTGATCAATAGCGAAAACACACAAGCTCCTGCTCTCCTCTCTGTTCGCTGTGGAGGTTTGAACCGAACTAGCCAGGCACGGCTCTTGGAGCGGTGTAAAAATAGACTTCTTCCCCCACCCCATCCTGTTACACTTAGAGCTGCGAGCTGGATGCCGGAGCCTCCTCTCTGCCACTGTGAGAAAGACCAGGCGTGTAATATTTGCTGTGTGCTTTTCCCCAGGCAGGGCAGAGACCACAGCCCCTGCTAATGAGTCCCTGGGATTTGTTCCTGCGGCGAAGGTACGGAGCAGCCGTGGCCGCCCGCAGCCCCGGGGGCAGCAGAGCCTGTCCCTTGGACGGGGCTGCCGGCTCTCCATGGCATTGCAGGAGCTTGCGTGGACTGTGCTAAGATGGGCAGTCAGCCAGCTCTGCTGCTGTTGAGCATATGCAGGCGGCCAGCTCTGTCTGTTTGGGAGCTCAGAGGTGAAACAGAGCAGTCTCTTTTTTAGATAGCTGCTCTCTGGCAAGGCTCACTTGGATTGAGATTCGCCCCCATGTTTTCCCGTTCCCAAGGAGGAGCCAGAACGTGGCGACCAAATCACAGAACAAATCGGTGTGAAGAGAAACCGTCTCCTGCACTCGCTCTCAGACTGTGTTTTTCACACCTGATCTGCAGCTTCTCTGACCCAGGCAACTGGAATCGAGGTGACTTCTCTGCTTTTCTGCTCCTTCCAGGATCTAAAAGAGAAGAAGGAAGTTGTTGAAGAAACAGAAAATGGCAGAGATGCACCAGCCAACGGCAATGCTGTGAGTATGGCTGCAATCTGCAGGGAGAGGCAGCCCTTACACCAATGCCTGTTCGTTTTCCTCTCTCTTCCTACTTTTGCTGCAAGCTTGTCCCCAGCCCTGCTCATGAGACCCCTTCAAATGGCAGCACTGAGCCCTGCAGAGCCCTCGAACCTTTGGCGCTTCCTGTTACACAGATACTTCCCAGCCTGTGGAGAGTTCATGTGTGTGCAGAAGCGAAGGGCTGGGCTTGGATCTCCTCCCTGACAGCCCTGTGAGGCTGTCCAGTGCCACCTCCTCTCTAGGGACTGAAAAAAGAGGAAAAAGAAAAGAACGCCTGGATTTACAATGTTACTACCAGTTGAGCAGGGAAACACATTGTGTACAAGTAAACCCCTTGGTCTTCTATTTTTAACATGCCAGGGGAAATTCAGTGTGCCACATTTCAATGTGGCACAAGACCCTCTGCAGTCTTTATCTCAAAACTGCAGCCCCGAGTTTTACTATAGGCTTGATCCTTCATGCCTGGGCTGTCTGGGTCGAGTGGAGGCAGGCAGGAAGTGGGACACGCACCCAGGCCTCCGGTGGGCTGGTGCTTTGCTTTCAGCAGGAATGGTGGGAACACGCACTTGTGCTGAACATCTCTTCCCCCTTCTCCCTTCCCCGGGGCATTTTTTTAAGTGATGTTTTGTCTTGCCAAGGAGAACGAGGAAAACGGAGAGCAGGAGGCTGACAACGAAGTAGACGAAGAGGAAGAGGAAGGTGGTGAGGAAGAGGACGAGGAGGAAGAGGGTGATGGTAACTTTTCTTTGTTCCACCCACCCCCATCCCATGGCTGTGTCCTGCCCTGGACAGCAGGCTCCTGGAGAGCAGCATCTCCCCCTCGCGGCTGCGGCCAGGCGGCTCCTGCCAGCCAGGCTCGCTCCTTCCTCACTCGCCCAGAGTGCTGGGAGTGAAGTCAGCCTTGAATCCCTTCCAGCAGGTTGAGGGCAGATTCCTCCCTCCCTCTCTCCCTCTGGCCAGACGGCACCGCACCGCGGCGCTGAATAAGCGCATTAGCCCTTCCGTGCGAGTAGTAAAATCTGCCCTTGACTCCGGTGATCGCAGCAGCCGCTGCAGGTGTGAGCCCTGGCCAGTGGGACAGGGACAGCCCTGGGTGGCCATACCTTGCCCAGGCACAGAGGATGGCTCACCATCCTTGTTTGTGGAGCAGCGTGCTGAGAGGTTTATGTGGCCCCCTCTCCCAGCCCTTTTCTGGGCTATATGGAAACTGGCAGAGGAACCTGTGGCTCTTGCCTGCTCCTCCAATGGAAGTAGACAGGCTTGCTTTGAACCTTCCCTGTCTGCAATGTCCTGTGTCTCCCTGCCCTCCCCTGCTTCCTGACCTAAGCCAGCCTGGAAGTGGGTTTTGGCAGCAGCGACCAGAAATCCAGCAGTGACTTGCCGAATCACTTCTCACCCTCCCTGCTATTATTTTTTTCCTAAGATCTGCTTGGATGAATAATGTTGTTTATTTTTATCGCTCGTTAAGGCTGTGAGAAAACCATTCTTGTTATGCTGAAATGTGCTTGGGGGCCCTGATTAGCTGTTACTAGGTTAATCCCCTGTGAATTTTTGGTTTACGTGCTGACCTACTAACCTGATGGTTAGTTTTAGGAGACAGGGACAGGGCTAGAAATTCAATGACCATTAGACCAGTGACTATTCAAACAGGGTGAGCAGGGAAAGCTGCCTCCTTTGGAGTGGCACTCTCACAGCAGCCTGCTGTGTGCTTTGGTAGGAATTGGTTCACTGGGAAAAACTGGAAATCGTGACCCTCTTCATACTCGAGATGTTAACCATTGGGGACAGAGTGCAGTGCTGTTATGTGCTGTTGAGCCCATTTACCCTCAGCTCTGCTTTGAGGGTGGAAGAGATGGGGAATACTTGCCTCTCCCCACTCCCCTTGGGCAGGAGCAGGAGGATGCGTGTGCTGCAGGCGCATGTGTGGGGTGGAAGTGTTGCTTGGATACTGCTGTGACAAGCTTGGGGAGCTTTGGTCCTGCAGTGCCAGCCCTGCTCTTCCCAGCTCACCGAGCACAGGCATGATTTGGCACAGAGTGCCTGGAGGTGCTGATGCCTTGCAGGGATCCGGCACGGGCTCTGACCGCTGGCATGGGCTCTGTCTGTCCACGCTTGCTGCCCTCGGGCGATCCCTGCCTGAGAGCTGCACCTGAGCTCTGCAGGAGAGAGATTTAAAGGCAGCAAGTACAGCTTGCATCAGCTTTTTTAGCCAAGACTTGCAGCCAGACTCCTGGAGTTTGACAGCAGAGGAGAGCTTGAGGGTATATTTTCCTCGCCCATCTCTCCATCCCATCTCATTATTTGCTTTGCTTAAAGCAGCTCAAAGAACTAAAAATGCTCCCAATCAGCTTGGCACTGTCACCTGACCTGCTGGCTGGCCCCATGCATGTGATGGCTGCTGGGGTGTTGATCCATTGCTGGGAGCTAATCTTGGCCCTTCCCGCCACATGGGCCACGCCACGGCTGGGCACACGCTGGGGAGAGGAGAGGGGAAGGGAGGATGGGCTGACCTTAATCCCCCCGGCTGTCCATACGTGTGGCTCGTGGCAGGGATTTAAAGCCAGCTTACTGGCCTTAACGCTCTAAGTTTTAGTAGGGTCTCCTGTTACACAAGAGACTCGTCTCTGCAGCCGAGAAGCTGTTCTGCCTCTGGTCTTGCTCCAGAGCCCCCAAAACTGGCCTAAGGTGACTGACTCAGTCGTTCTGATCCACTGGCCTATTTGAGCTCAAAGTGGGTCAAAGCCCAGAGCTCACTGCTCATCCTCCTGGCTGGCTGTAAGATAAGTTGGAAGCATTTGTTTGCTGTTCTGATAATTAGAAAGTGTTCTGACTCAGAACTAATGCGTTCTGGCTCTCTTAACTCATTAAAGATGGACTAATAGCTGCGAAGGGAAGCAGAAGTAATCTGGAGTGGTTAGGCAGAGCAGCCACTAGAAAGTTTTTTCCTCTCCCTTTTTTCCCCCCATTTTTGCCATGATTTCGGTGCTCATGGTAGGTGGTGGTTTTGCCATCCCATTGTGTTACAAGCACAGTGTGAGCCAAACTCGATGCTGCCAATTTCTTATCTCCCCTTTGGTGGGTCAAGTCATTCGGGGGATGCCAGGAAAGCCACTTCGTCCTCTATCACCTGCTGTCCTGAGCAGAGGTTGTGCCAGCTGGGGAGATGGGACATGGCATTGCAGTGTGGGCCTGAGCCAGGATTAAACCCAGATGGGAGGTGCATGGTACTGGAACTCTCCCAGAGGATCTCATATTCCTTCCTTTCTCCTCCGTGCAGGTGAGGAAGAGGACGGTGATGATGACGACGAAGCTGAGGGAGCCACAGGCAAACGGGCAGCTGAGGATGATGAGGTAGGAAGAGCAGGCAACCCCTCAGAGCCACCCATGTCCCTAGAGGGCTTAAAGGCTGTCAGTGGGGCTGGAGAGGCCAGGCTGGCTCCGGGGCTGGGATGCCCTGCCTGTGCGCTCCCTGTGTCTCTCTGGGGACACAGCCCGATTCCATGTATTTATACACTGGCCTGGTTAGTGGGGTGTCTGCTCCCACTGAATGGAGCTGCCGGTCCTGGGCTGAGGAGCCCCTGGGTGCTCATGGCAGGCTGGGACAGGGGTGGGTGTTCAGGGGCTCCCCAAGCTGGCTGTGAGAGAGGATGTTGCCTGAGGGGGAAGAAACACTTGTGTTGCTCTGACCTTGTCCCTGAGGCAGGAGGGGGACCCAAAACCCTCCCCTGCCTCTCTCTCTGCCTTTTGTGTGGCTCTCACCAGCCCTTGTCCCCTCTCCTGATGGCTTTGCTTTCCCCCCAGGATGACGACGTCGATCCCAAGAAGCAGAAAACCGACGAAGATGACTAGGCAGCAAATTATTATTATTTTTTTTTTTAAATAAGGAGGAAAACAAACCAACAAAAAAAGGCCAGCGCGTCCTCTTCACCCTCGGGTCCCCCCCTTGGGACTCCTGTTGCAACCTCCCTTTTCCCACACACGCCCCCCCTTCCTCCCCCCTCCGCCGTGGTCATCCTCACCAAGTAGAGTGAACCGCCGTCCCCGGCCCCCGGCGCGGCGCTGCCACTCAACGAACATAAAAATGATTCGCCGTTATTGCGGGAGAGAAAGACCCCCCTTCCCCCCACAGACCCCCTCCCCCCCAAGCACCAAAACTTCAAGGCCCTGCTTTCTTTCTTAAAAGTACTTTAAAGGAGAATTTGTTTGTATTTTTTATTTACATTTTATATTTTTGTACATATTGTTAGGAGGTCCGCCATTTTTAAGTGATCTCGGATTGACCAAAAGGGGGGCTTTGAAGTGTATATCTCTCTTGTTACCTATCTCTGACTTTACTTGTGGTGTGACCAGGCCCAAACCATTATCTCAAAGGAGAATAAAACAAAACCTTGTAAAAAAAAAATTAAAAAAAAAAGACAAAAATGCAAAAAAAAAAATTTACAATCTTATTCTGAGCATTCCAGTAACTTTTTTTGTGTATGTACTTTAGCTGTACCATAGATCGTGGTTTGTATGAGGTGGCAAGGCCAAAGATAAAAAGGTTTTCTTTTTTTTTTTTTTCTGTCTATGAAGTTGCTGTTTATTTTTATTTTTTTCTTTTTTTTTTGGCCTGTTTGATGTATGTGTGAAACAATGTTGTCCAACAATAAACCGGAATTTTATTTTGCTGAGTTGTCCTAACAAGGCTGCCTCCCAACTGCTGCTTTTTGTTTTGGTTTTCATTTGTTTTAATTTATTTCTTTCTCCCCTTTTCTCTCCTTTCTTTCTTTGCTTTGGACTTGGGTTGGGAAGAGAGAGAAGAGGGTAGAGGGGTGCAGGGTGTTGATGGGGAGAGCCTGGGGGCTGTGCTGTCCTCCTGCTGCTGTTGGGACAGGGGAGGCAGCGTGTTTTCATGGCTGTATTCCTGTAGAGAGCTGCAATTGAGTCTCCAGCATGGCCTCTGCATGATCCCGCATGGTCTGGCTGCCCTGGGCAAGCAGTAGGGATGGGTCAGACTGGGAAACCATCAGGGATACAGGCAGTGAGCTGGAGGGTGTGGGAATGGGCTGCTCAGCGATTGTCCTTCTGCAACCAAACTTGTTGGGGATTGTTTGGCTTGTGCAGTGGGGATGAGAAACCCACCCCAAAAATCCTTCCTTGCAGTGTCTGCTGCAGGTGAGTGACCCCCAGGTGTGGAGTAGTGAGCTCTGGCTATGCAAATGCCTTCCCTCCCTGGGGGCTTGTTTACAGCATCACTGGCAAACAGGGTAGGAGGCAAGTGCTGAAGGAGGCAGCAGGGATTGGATTCAGCCAGAACTGATCCCAGAGGGATACTCCAGCCTGCACTGGTCACCCAGCAACTGGTGGAATGCTAGGGTGTAGAGGTTTGGTGGTGGGACCCGGGAAGGCAGCTGGGGTTTATCTGTCTGCTTTAATCAAAGCAAAATGCTGTAACTTAGACTAAGCCTCTGCTGCTTTGCTCCTAATCTTCCTCCAGTTCATTTTTCCTCCTTCCTCTAGGGCATTGGAGCTTGGAAAAGCTCAAGCCTGCTCTGCCAGGTGTGTGGAGACCAGGAACCTGCCTTGTATCTGTGCTCCCAAACCCTCGCCTGGGCTCCAGGGAGTTCCCTTTCCCTGCTAATCCAGGCTGTGCCAAAGCCTCACCAGATGGTCTCGTTTCCTCCTCTCACACTGCAATCCCGGCAGTCAAGTGTTCAGATGCTGGGAGATGATTCCTATTTTACTTTTTTTTTTTTTTTTTAAAAAAAGAGAGGAACCAACTGCATTTAATGCAGTGGCTGGGAGGGTCACAGACCCTCGTGATCCCTGGGAGCAGCCAGGTCACTTATCCTGTACTTACACCAGTGGCAAATAAGCTCAAAATCTGGCTTTTTGTCCTTAATTGTCCCACTAATTGTGGTGCTGGCTGATAGCTTATCAGATTTGGTGGGTGATGGGGAGCTCCTGGCAGGGCTGGGGGCAGGTTTGGTTATCCAGTGCTCGGATGTCCCCCATGGGATCTGACATGGGAGCAGCTAAGTGTCACCATGCTGCTGGGTGGTGCCTTGTGGTGCAGTGCTGGGAGTTGTGTCCATGCCCTCGTCACAGCTGCCACAGGCACAGCTCCTGCAACCTTGATGGGAGGGGATCCCATGGGATGGGCTCCACCGGTGCAAGATTCAAGTTGGTACTTGCAGATTTGCAAGACAAATTATTCAAATAAGTTTCTGCAGCCAAGTAGACGAGAGCTGGCTCCAAGAGTCACTGAAATGTGAGGACCCTGCTTGCACAGGAGTGAGGCTCCAGTGGGCAGATTTTGGGGAAGCAGTGGCCCTACTGCTGCTATGGCAGAGCAAGACCTGTCCTATGCCCTGTAGCCCCCCAAAACCTGGGGGCATTGGATAGTAGGGTCCACTTTGGTGTGGGGTGGGGTAAAACTGCAGGCTGCCTCTGGCCTTGCAGCTAGACAGGCTGATGATGGGTAGGGCATGGAGCAGCTGGAGGTGAGAAGAGGATAGGTTACAGGGGTCCCTCAGCCCCACAGCTCCTGGTCCCCACTCGGCTGCTGTGAGCCCCCTGTGGCCACTGGTGATGGAGAGGGTAAACCCCAGTCCCTCACCTCCATCTGCCCCGGTGTTTCTATGCCCAATTTCTACCCCCTTGTGGCTCAGTCCGGGGGAGTGTCGCAGGCCCTGCCACCCTGTGACCCCTGGATGTGCTTCCACAGGGAGGGGCTGGGCTGGTCCCACTGCTGGGGCTGAGTCCAGGCCCAGCTCAGTGCATGAGGCACTGCAGGGTCCTGCCCCAGCCACCCCCCGCACAGGGCACTGTCAGGCAGCCAATCCCACACTGCCACCTGTCCCTCCCTCCACCAGTCACAGTCAAGCAGCACACAGGCCCAGCCAATCAGGTCCTGCCACCCATCTCTCCTCCACAGCCAACCACGTGCTGCCACTTGTCTATGCTCGTGTGCTCCCTGTGCACAGAGCCCACCAATCACAGCATGAGGAGTGCTGCTCTGAGCCAATCCAGAGCCGCTGCCTGCTGGCTGTCCTGGCCAATCAGGGGCGGCCACACCCTGCCAAGGGCTATAAAGGCCCCTCAGTGCTGGGCCTTGCATTTGGGGTTGGTTATCCTGGAGTGGAGTGGAGGTCCTTTGGAAGAGCCTCCTGCCTGGGGCTTGCAGAGGAGATGCAGGTTGGGGTGTGGCACTTTGTCTCATCTGGTGCCCGATGCCACAGAGGGTGTCTGGGTGAATCCAAAATGCTGCAGGGAATGCTCACCTGGATGATGTCTTGGGACAAGGGACCAGTAGCAGCAGGAGATGGCTTGCAGTGCCAGCCAAAGGCACCTCTGAGGATCTTGGAGATGGTCTCCCTGGTGAGCTGGCTTCATGCCAGGGGCTGCCCAGGGGGACCTGGGGAGTCCCACCTGCCTCTGGTGTGCAGGAGATGATCCAACCACTGCCTGGCAACCAGAGCTGGGCCCTGTGGGGGCTGATGCCATGGGACTGGAGGTGAAGAGCATGAGCCCTCCTGTGTCTTCAGGCATGGTGAGGTGCTGGGCCCTTGCCCAGAAGAGCAGAAGAGCTGCCTGTGCTGCCCCTCGCCTGCAGAAAATGTGCATTGTGAGGGATCCAAATTCCTCCTGGACTGCTGATCCTGCTGGTCCTGGAGGCCATGGAGGCAGATGGCTGAAGCTGCTCTGGGATGTGCTAGCTGGCTGCTGGCCACTGAAGGTAGCCAAGGTAGCTCCCAAAAGTGACCATCAGGAGAGCTGCAGGGTGCCTCGTACGAGCCTGGAGGGACTTGGGCTGTGCTGATGTGCACTGCTGGCCTCTTTGGCCAAGGGCAGCCCTTCCCAAGGATTCTGCTGTGGCTGGACCTCAGCTGGAGCCACCTATGTGTGGATGAACATCCAGGTGAACTGAAAGCAACCTCCAGGTGGTTGGCCTGAAACTCAGCACACCAGTGGAGCTGCTGCTAGAGGTCAAAGCCAGCGAGACCAGTGGAGCTGAGCCCATGCCCTGAGGACAACTTGGACTGAGCCTGGACCAGCAGACCTGTCTCCAGTCCTGACCTGCCCGTAGTGGGTTAGGACCTGTTGCATCAGCACAAGCTTGTCCTGTACCACCAGTAGCTTTCAGTTAGCCTCATCCAAAAATTCTTGTTGCATCTTGACAACCTTCATGAAATTTGGAGCACCTCGGGCGCTCGGTGAAGAACCTGCCTGTGGGGAATGCAGGTCTTGGACTGCACCTAGACACAGGCTGGTGTTACTGGTACAGTGTCTGGGCGAACAATTGGCTTAAAGAGTCTAATGAGTGGAACTGCCTTCCAGGCGTGACTCCTCAAGATCACAAACCCAGAAGCACTTTTGGATGGTTGCTGTTGAAAATAGACACAAAGAGCTGCTCCTCTGGCAGAGCAATTGCCACCTGGCTCAGGGTGTGAGGTGTCCCAGGGGAGCAGACCCCTCGAGGGTAGGCTACAGAAGCCCAGGGTCCTCAGCCAGTTTTGGCTCAACCCACATAAGAAAGATGTGCCTCCTAAATGGAGCAGGGATGTCAGTGAGCACGGCCTGAGAGCTGCCTGGTGTGGGCAGGAGAGCCCAGCCCAGGCTGAAGAGCAGATGTAAGACATCTAGTTCCTTGTCCTTGGCTGCCACATCCCCCTCGGTGAGCCAGGGCAGGCGTGGTCCTGGGCCCTGACTTGGCAGTCCTCAGCCCAGTGGAGGTCCCCGAGCTCTGAAACCCAGATGGAGGTTAATCCCTGCTGCCAGGTCTGCTTGGGGCCACCACCCCAATCCTTCCCCACAATCGGGTGGGAGCCTCGGAGAGGGAGCAGAGCTGGGGTGCCTGGGGCTCCTCCTGCACAGAGCCCTGTGCTGATGCTGCTCTAATTTGTCTGGCTGAGCTGATCTTCTCCAAAGACCAGGAGAAAGGGCTGTGGGGGACCCTCAGCTTTGCTTACCCCAGCGAGGGCTGTGCCTCCTGTTCACAGCTGGCTGGGGAGCCCCAGAGGGAGGGGTGGTGGACTCAGAGGCCACTCTGCACTTGGCTGTGCTATGTGTGGCCCAGGAAGAGACCTGGGAGGAAGTGTTGAGTGCTGCCCTTCGGAGCAGATGGGGACCTGAAGAGGCTCTTGCATTCCTTTTGTAAGAAAGCACAATGCAAGGGAGGCAGCTGGGGGATAAGAAAGCTCAGCCCAATTAGCCCTTGGAGTCTCCACAGGAGTAGAGACATTGGGCTGTAAATCCACAGGGGTGGGATCTTTGCATGTGTTTTTCCTGCCTGGGAGGGAGGCCTGAAGGTGAGGGGCTGTGCCTCTCCTGAGTGCCAGCTGCGTGTTGGGTGGGGGTGTAGGTCCTCCAGCATGCTTTGGGCACGGGGATGCCTTTGCTCTGTGGGCATCTCCCTGGGTTCCTCTCCTGTGCTGCAGGCAGAAAAGGCTCCTGGCCCTGCTCCTTCAGGGAGCTGGAAACCAGCACCCCTCTGTCAGGGCTCAGGGCAGGAGGTGTGAGTGCTGCAGCTTGTGCCCAAAGCTGGAGACCTGAATGCTCAGGGACCCCTGAGCCACGTTGAGGAGGATGACGACCCACAGTGTGTGAAAAGCACCTGCTCCCCGGGCACTGCCAGACTCTGGATTCACAGGCAGAGAAGGGATGTAGCCCCCAATTTCCTAGCTGAAGTGGCAGAGAGTATG